ATCATCCAATTTCATCTAAAATTTCAATGAGAAACGCATTGCAACTGAATATTTCCGTTGGAATTTCCATTGGAACCATTCCAACGAAAACTTTAGAATTGAAATATACTAGTATAGAATTTTTCGTTGAAATATAACAATTTTTTTGAAATGGAACAAGAAAACAAATTCAATATTTTATGAAAATTTAATTTTCTTAAAAATACGAAAAAATCCAATGGGACGTTGCACTACAAGAAAAACTGCATTTGGCGACGCTTATTAATGACGCTTATTGGCGAGTTGTGTTGCTAAATTTGATGTCAGAAAAAAATAAGTGTCGTCAAATACAGTTTTTCTTGTAGTGTTGGTTCCGGATAGAACAGAACCGGCGGTTTCCAGGTAAAACTATGGGTCGATTCAAGCCTTGTGGTCAACGATTTGGGCCATTCCGAAACCATTGACTTCTGGGCCAGGCCAATTTGGGCCGAACTGTGGCCATGTCTAGTATATATGATCTTTATAACTAAATTCTTATGATCTGAATTGTTAACCATTTGGTCCAATGTTAAAACAAGTGCTAGTGCATGAACAAGCTAAGATATAATAAGGCAAAATTTCTATAGCATTGGAATTTATAAGTTCTATGATAGCTGATTCATTAGTATAATATTGTCCCGTTATGTGCTCGAACCCACTAATATTTATTTTTGTGATAACTGTTGGCAATAAGTATATGTATTTGTCTTACGGAGAATGACAAAGAACAACATGAACGAAGAATGATGACAAATTACTAGATCAAACAACGAACACGATCCTTGAACAAACTAGCATAAAAAAAAATCAAATAAATTAACGTCGAAACATGTAATACACAATCTCTGTTAGACGAAATTGTCATTGATTAATACTCATAATCTTCGACAAACCTTTTTATCTTGTGAATAGTGATACATCAAATACACAAGATTTTGATGAACTTAGAACTCTAAATAAATGAAGAAAGAATAATGAACACAACACGAT